ACACCCCTCAGTGTGTGTATTCTGTTATGATACAGCCCATTGTCCCTTAAAATGGCTTCTACTGTACAGCGCAGTAAAGTTGCTATGGTAATGGCTTCACAGTACTCCACAAGGGGGCTCCCTCTGGTAAGGGGGGAAATCCAACATTAGGAAATAAGTTTGTTCTGGATATATTTTCTTATTTCAGGTTAGAAAAGTTTCCTTGCAGAACTGCTGGAACCTTACTGCTTTGTGTCTAATTATACAAATAGCTACTTATAAATCTGCAAGGTATTTCCAAAGCAGAAAATCAACAAAAAGAGGCGATTTTGCTGGTCCCCGCACCCGCTGATTGAGCCAGAAAGATATGTCAGTTCTGGAAGGAATATTTGGATCATAACCCAAGCCACAGACTATTACGACTGCATGATAAACCTCATAATGTTTGGCTGCGAAAGACTCATTACATGGAAGCCTCTTTCATAAATCTGACTTGTCCTCAAGTGTCCTCCAGTAATCATTTGGCTTAATATTGGGATATTAAACAAATACGGAATGATTTTAAAATAATTATTAAAACACAATTAGCTATGTGTTTGACTTAAGAAGCAATATCACTTTTTCCATTAAAAAAAATAAAAGGAAAAACCCTTAAGTTGATTGTGTTGAAGGCCTTTGCACCTTTCAGAGATAATAAAACTGCCAATCAAAGGGATTTTCAAATATGGAAAGGCTCATCCTTTATGTTTTATAGCCCCCTCAGTGAACATTAAAAACGCATTATGAAGCTCTTGCTGCAGTAACAACTACCCCCTAAATCTGCATTCATAACTACTGAAATCACATTTCCCTTCCTTCGGAGCCAGCTAAAGTCCCAGTTGTGCCTTATCCCCACCCATCCTTTCCACAGCCAAAGAGTCCCGCGGATCAGTCCTGGATGAACTTGCCATTTTGGAAAAATAAAAACAGAATTCTCTATTTCCCCGTAGAGACAGCTTGGGTCAGTCAGTAAAACTGGAACAGATTATTCCTCCTGCCACACCAAATTCAGGCAAAAGACATTTCATCAACGAGTAGAGTTGTTCAACAGAAAATATCGCCCCCTTATGTCCAAAGGGGGAATTCCACACTTTTTAAAAATGAAAATATCAGGGATTTAAGAGTTTTGAGTTTACTGATCTCTGCGGATAAAAAAGGCCAACTGAGTTCCACAAGGTTTCTCTCAGCTATAATACAATACAATACAATAGCAGAGTTGGAAGGGACCTTGGAGGTCTTCTAGTCCAACCCCCTGCCTAGGCAGGAAACCCTATACCGTTTCAGACAAAGGGCTCTCCAACATCTTCTTAAAGACTTCCAGTGTTGGAGCATTCACAACTTCCAGAGGCAAGTTGTTCCACTGATTAATTGTTCTCACTGTCAGGAAATTCTTTAGTTCTAGATTGCTTCTCTCCTTAATTAGTT